TTTCTCCGCTGTCCTCCATATGGGAGGGACAGAGACTTCTAGCGTTCCCTAGGCTCTCAGCGCTTCAGATGGGGAAGTTACTTTCTGGAAAAAAATAGTATACTATCAGTTCCAGGCAGAGCAATGGCTGGTCTTAATTTGAGAGGCTTACTGTTTGATCCTAACCAAATTTCCTTGACATGAAACTTCTTTCCCCCTTTTGATTTTAGTATCATTTGCTTCACCTAGACCAGTGGTTCTTAACCTTTGTTACTCAGGTGTTTTTGAACTGCAACTCCCAGAAACCCCAGCCAGCAGAGCTGATGGTGAAGGCTTCTGGGAGTTGCAGTCCAAAAACATCTGAGTAACAAAGGTTAAGAACCAGTGACCTAGACTCTAGACTCACAGAGTAGGGCTTAACAAGAAGCTTACGGCAGATATAGCAAGACCCAGGTCTATGGAGCCTGTGTCCTGAGCACCCTCCTGTCCTGCAGTGAGTCCTGGACTCTTTGTGCACGGTAGGAGAGGAAGCTGATCACCTTCCACATGCATTGCCTCTGACATATTTTTGGTATCTCCTGGCAGGACCAAGTTCCAAATAGAGTAGTCCTAGAATGAGCTGGAATTTTTAGCATGTATACATTACTGAAACAGCGACGTCTACGTTGGCTTGGGCACGTCATGAGAATGGCTGATGGTCAGATTCCAAAATATCTCCTGGATGGAGAATTAGTGCAGGGAAATCGCCCCAGAGGGAGACCACAGCTGCGATACAAGGCGATCTGCAAGCAGGATCTGAAGGCCTTAGGAATGGTCCTCAACAGATGCGAAACCCTGACATCTGAGCGTTCAGCCTGGAGGCAGGCCACAGCCTCTCCCAATTTGAAGAGACACTTGTCCAGCAGGCTGAGGCCAAGAGGCCATCCTGAAACCAGCAAAATCAGGGAGCTGGACAGGGGACAGATTGTATTTGTCTTCAGCGTGGAAGGGACTGTCACTCTCGAATTGGCCTCCTCAGCCACACTAGACGCTGTTCCAAGTCCCCCATACAGAGCACGTCACCATCGTCTCCCAAGACTGAAGGATGCTTACAACCTTCACCTAGGTTTATAGACTGGCAGGTCAGTTCTGCATTTGCTACCACAACCTTCTTAGGGTTTTCTAGCTCAGAAACTGTTTCCCAGGTGCTCCTTCTGGGGGCGCTCTTGGGCCGCTGCACCGCTTGCTCAAGGTCATCGGGGTGGCAGGGGACGAGTGCAGGGCAGTTGCCCAACCCGTTGATAAAGGAATCAGCTAGCTCGCAAACAGCCTCACTGGATTTTAACTTCCTCTGGGTGACATGTATTGCTTTGCACTTTAAATCACACCTTACTCCTGCTTCGTGTGTTTCTGGGGGTCGAAGTCTTAAAAAGTAACTTTGCCAAGGTCTGCTCATAAGTCTTCTGAAGCAGCTTACCCTCAATTAAGGAAATGCACACCAAAGATCATGTCTGTCTTATTGAATGCTAGTGCAAAGCTCTTTGTACATGTGCAGGCATTGCTTGTTGTAATCAGGAGTTCCTTGCAATGTATGGCCATTCCATGGATTAGGACTTAGAAAAACATCCTGTCCTTAATAGCCATGTTGAGATCATGCAGGTCTGATGCCATGGTTTCCTTAATCAAGTCAATCTATCTCATATTCAGTCTTCCTCTTCTCCATTCCCCTTCAGTTTTTCCTAGCATTATTGTCTTTCGTAGTGCATCTTGCTTTCTCATGGTATACTCAAACTATAATAGCCTTAATTTACCCATTTTCACTTCTAAAGACAGCTCAAGCTTGATTTGATCTAGAACCCACTGATTATTTGTCTTTCTGGCAGTCCATGTACTGATAAATTTCTCTTTTGCTACCATGAGTCCCTGTTTCTCCTGCCAGCTTTCTTCATTGTCCAGTTTCTACATCTATAGATGATGATCGGGAATACCATAGTACGGATGATTTGGGCCTTGCTTTCTAGCAACACAATCTTCCATTTTATGATCTTTTCTAGTTGTTTGTGCCCTGGGGTATCCATTGTTTTCGGAGTACATGAGCCAGAGCCCTGGATTGGGGAAATTCCTGCTGAAGTCACCAGGCATAGGCTGCATTCTTTTACACGCATCCACACCAGTGTGTGAAGGGAGCTCCCGCCTAACCCATGGGGCTAAAGACAGGGCCTCTACTATCACACCTCCGTTCAGCTCCACAAAGAACGCTGTGTGCATTTAAAGAGTGTTGGTTGTTCTGGGTGTTTCTGTTTTACATGCCTTCCAAAAAAAATCCAGCACAGCAGAGAAGAGGCTGAGCTTATAAAGAAAGAAGCTTCAGGGGACCTTGTGAAGATAGCATGTATTCATTAGATGGCTCCCCCTCCCTTGCAATTTAGGGACAATTCTACTGATCTATCGTGCATGGGTGTCGTAAGAGTGATATACAGTACAAGATTGTGCATGGAAAAGAGTAGACATCGTCTACATATTATTATTAGAACTTTCCAGTTTAGATTGCATAACCCTCTTCGGGTGGATGTGGGTGTTGTTTGAGGTGTGTATGTGCGACAAACCTTGACAGCATCTTCAAAAGCAGAGACATCTCCTTGCCGACAAAGGTCCGCATAGTCAAAGCTATGGTTTTTCCTGTCATGATGTATGGAAGTGAGAGCTGGACCATAAAGAAAGCAGACCGCCGAAGAATTGATGCCTTTGACTTGTGGTGCTGGAGGAGGCTCTTGAGAATCCTCTGGACTGCAAGGAGAACAAACCTATCAGTTCTAAAGGAAAGCAACCCTGAATGCTCACTGGAAGGACAGATCCTGAAGCTGAGGCTCCAGTATTTTGGCCATCTCATGAGAAGAGAAGACTCCCTGGAAAAGCCCCTGATGTTGGGAAAGAGTGAAGGCAAGAGGAGAAGGGGACGACAGAGGACGAGATGGTTGGACAGGGTCATCGAAGCGACCAACATGAATTTGGTACCAAACTCCGGGAGGCAGTGGAAAACAGAAGGGCCTGGCGTGCTCTGGTCCATGGGGTCACGAAGAGTCGGACACGACTTAACCATTAAACAACCACAGCAGCATGTGTGAACAAAATGTTTCTTGCTTTTAGCATGCATTGAATTGAGTATATGATGGCTTTTTGATGTACATTCAGTACATCAGACCAGTAAGACAACTAGAGTTCTAGGTGGTCCTTGACAATGGCAGGCATCTTAGAGGGAGAACCAGTTCCTTTAGGAGGCATTTCCAGGTGGTGGCAGCCAGGTGGCGATACTGAGCCACAGGGATCCTCTCAGTTCCCTTACAGATGTGGCGTAAGTTAAGAACGTACCACTGGATAATCCCCATAAAGCATTTTGATCCCTTTTTCTCAGTAACTGGCACTTACAATCTCAATAACTATGAGACAGCATTAGGAGAAAGAACAGAAATATACTTACAGTTGGACAGTTCTACAGCAGACGATGAGACAGCATTCGGAGAAAGAACAGAAATGTTTCATATACTTACAGTTGGACAGTTCTACAGCAAATTGAACAAATGTAACTGACTGCTTTCAACAACAGACTCACTGCTTCCAAGAGAAAAGGAGGGGGGAAGAGCACGAGAGGGGGTCTCTCTTTGAATTCAGAAGCAGGGAAGGAACGACTGGTTAATGGTGGATAGACTGACAGTCACCCAAGCCCAGTAAGGTCCCTCCTAGCCAAACCTACTAGAGGCCGCATGCGAGGCTGCAAAATTCCAACAGATCCTCTTGGGTCTTAACTACCTGCAGAGTTATGAGCTGCAGAAACAGCTGTGGCTATCTGGCAATCTCTCCGGCCACTTGACCAGTGTGGTACCAGGCTCCAGACAGGAGGGAAGAAAACCCTAAAAGGATGCTCACCAAAGCCTTTTTGCGACTATTAAAACCAGGCAGATCTATTTCCAACCAGCGTTGTGTGATCCATGAATAGAAATGAAACTCTGGGCTCAGCCATCCCTGTCCTTGATCGCCGACATAATACAAACCTAGCAAGCTTCCAGGTCCTACAGCACTGCTCTTGAGACACCCCTGGCATGAAAACGGGGGAAGAAAACCAAAGGTCTAAAAATCAAGTCCAGCGTCACGCTTGATCTTCCAGGGAGTCCCAGCTATCAGCTGGCGATGGCAGCATTTTTAGCAATTTAGAGCATTTTTTTTCCTATCAAAGGACAAGGCTCCTCAATTCCACCCCCCACCCTGACATTTGCCTGCTCTGGTTGGAACTTGATGCTGTTTGGAATGTATGTCCCCTGTCCCCCCCCTCCCCCCAGCTTTGATTGTTCCTTGCAAACCAGGTGCTGGAATAGGTGAGAAGAAGCCAGAGATGCTCTGCTAACGAAGTGAAAAAGAAGCAGGAGGCGACCGGGGGTCTCTCCACAGCCTTCGCAAAATACGGCCGGCAGCATCAAATCCACCCCCCCACACACACACACACGCACATCTGTAAAAGAGAGAGGGTTGCTACCATTAGCTGACATCCGTTCCATCCAGTGGGTCTCCTCCTTCCCAAGCCTCCCTCCCCTGCACTCCAGTTTTAATATATTTGTAAATGAGGGAAGGATCAAGATTAAAACCTCTGGGGAGACGGGAGAGTGGATGTCCGTACATTTCCTTCCCTTCTTTTCCTCAACCCAATACATTCATTTTTTAAAAAGCAGGCATGGGAATGGGGGGGGGGAGGCAAGAATAAAGCCAGGATCAAGAATGAAATCTCGCCATATGGCGAGTTAACCGAAAGCATACCCTCCGACGTGAGTGCGCGGCGGTAATTCAAGCCATACGGCCTGTCTTTTTGGGTTGTAAAGATTCTATTGAGAACAGTGGAACTGGGGGGGGGGACTGGGACTTTATTCGCTGCCATAAACCACCGTTTTACCATTTGGGAGGTTAGAATTGTGGGGTGTTTTTTTTTGTACAATTGGGTACTGCTGGGGTGTTAACGGTCCTCTTGTTCTCTTCCCCCCCTTCCTTGCTTTCAGGTTGGCATCTGGTGGAGGTTTTCTGCCGTTGGTTGATTTTTGGGCAGCTTAGCAGAGGCAGAGTGTCGTGATGAAGCGAAAAGTGGTGATCAGCTTTTTCCTGGCTGTCGTCTTGCAAACGGGGACCTGCAATGGGATCAAGTGGCTGTAAGTTTTTTCCTCTCTGTGATTGACACATGCTACACGTTGTCTCAGATAAACAGGACATGTCATTCGGGGTGGGGGGGTTGTCTCATCAAGTCACCTCCCACTTATAGGGACTCTATGGATAAGTGACCCCCCGAAAAGTCTTGTCATGAACAGCCCTGCAAACCCAAGACCATTGAGTCAATCCATCTCACATTGGGGTCTTCCTCTTTTCCTGTAAATTTTTTGGTCCATTTTTCCTAGCATTATTGTCTTCTCCAGCGAGTTTTGTCTTCTCATGATGTGCCCGAAGTACAACAGCGTCCTAGAATCCACCCGCAGCTGGTTCTGGGCAAAATTTCCGACTCTTCCTCAAAGTCCCCTCCACTTACAGTGGGGTCTCGACTTACGAACTTAATCCGTATTGGAAGGCAGTTCTCAGGTCGAAAAGTTCTTAAGTCAAATCTGCATTTCCCATAGGAATGCATTGAAAACCATTTAATCCGTATCTGCTCTTTTCGTCCATAGAAACTAATGGGAAGCTGCTATTCCACCTTCTGCCACTAGAGGGGGATATTTTTTTTCTTTTTTCCTTTTAACCTAAGATGACTTAGCTTTTAAAAAAAGCAAAAAAAGGAGTTCGTAACTCGAATCTAAGTTCGTAAGTCGAATCCATATATTCCTATGAGAGCGGTTCGTAAGTCGAAACGTTCGTATCTCGAGCCGTTCGTAAGTCGAGACCCCACTGTACCTGCAGTGGAAATTAAATCCCCAGTTTCTAACGAGCCTGCACTTTGAAGGTGCTGGCTCTACGGTGGTCTAATTGGACTATTGGACCCGTGAATGCCTAGATAAATCGGTGTGGGTGATGAGATGCAAATCTCTCATTTAAGGAGGTGGGCAACCCAGGAAGAATCCGACCAGCAGGAGAGGAGATGCCTGTAAGGCCACATTGCTCCATAGCATCCTGCCTCGGTTTTAAGATTTTTGCCAGAGGCCCCCCTTTACATTTTTTTCCTGATGTAGTTTTAAATGGTTTGGCCGACAGAATCTGACAGCAAAATAGCACACAAGCAAAGGGAAGCGCTCAAGGCGTTCTCACAAATTACTGGCTCTTTATCCAAGTTCACGACAGTCAGCCAGAACAATCACATACCCCAGTGTTGTATTTTAAGGGCATTTTGCAGTTTTTTGGGGTTTTGCATTTTGCATTTTGGGGTTTTTAAATATTTCATGGTTTGTTTGTTTTTTTAAAAAAAATAAGATAATGAGCAAAATCCTGTTGAGTTTTCACACCACATAATACACATGGTGGAATTGACTCACCTTAAAAAAATCAGCATAGACAGTGCCTGCGGGGAAATGGGTTTAGAGTGTGAGGAAGGAACCTTAGGGAAACCCAGTTCAGAGGGACTGTTTACCTGTGGATGGTTTTTGAGCTCTTCGGCACATTTTAGAAGAAGGGGCAAAGAAACGGTTCACGGGAGCATCTCCTGGTTGTCCAGAGTGTTTCTTATGCGAGAGGGGGAAAAAAGACTGCCTCGTCATTCAAAAAGTTGGGAGAAACGGGAGAATCCTGTAATGTTCCCTTGTAGGAAAAATCCCTGCTTGTGGAAAACTAGCATCTCAGCAGAAAGGTGAAGTTATATGTCAAGTTGTCTTACATACCGTTAGTCCATTGGCGCTGCTGGTTTAGGGTGATTTATTCTGAGGGTAAGAAACTCTCCAGAGACAGCCTGTTACCCAGACGCTTCAAAAATAAATAAATCTGAAGAGTCCAGGATTTGAATGTATGGCGTATATGCCCACCAAACAAGTGAACTGCTTCAGGGTGGGGTGGTGATCTGCTCGACAGGAGCCCCGTGTTTCTTGCAACCGTCTGCTCTTCCTTCCACTTAAATTTTTTAAATAAATGCTTCTAGTCCTCAAGGCTGCGCCTTTAGGTTCGGAGAACAGCGTGTGAAAGAATGGGACAAGCCAGAGGGAGCAAAGGGGATGCAGAGTGGGGCATTAGAAGGAACAGCAGGCCACACATTGTTTGTGTGTGTGTGTGTGTGTGTGTGTGTGTGTCTGTGTGTCTGTGTGTCTGTGTTTGTGTGCAAATGTCAAACGCTGAGGATTTTAAAGGTTCCCCTCCCCTCGCTGTTTTTCTGGATGAAGAAACAGCCAAGTTTGCAAAAAGAGAGAAAAGCCGCCCTATTCTTTCTCCGACTGCTGGGGTGATCCGGCGTACCAAGAACAAACTCAGCCTTCAAACAGAAAAGCCACATGCTTTTGTCATCTGTCTCCGGGCCCGGCCTGTTTAAACATTCTGCTTTATTGGGACGCTTTTCTCTCTCTTTTGCAAAACCTCGCAGGTTTGTCTCAGAGCTTGCAACAGCTGCCTCCGAGCCCACCCAGCGGCTCTGACTTTTTGAGCTATCGGTTCAGAAAAGGCACAAGGGGATTATCCAATGGGGCACCATATGTCAGATCAAGGGTGTGTCAGCCCCTAGGACCCAGTTTGCATTCTAGGACATGAAACGGAGTCCTTGTAAAATCTGGAAGAGGCTCGTCAAAATCAATGTGCCCCTATAAAACGAATTGCCCTTAGTCAGAGAAGACAAATGATACTTTTTAGACTTTAAGGTCACCTCCAGTTTATGGCAACCCTATGAATGAATGAGGGACGTGGTGGCGCTGTCGGCTAAACCGCAGAAGCCTCTGTGCTGCAGGGTCAGAAGACCAGCAGTCGTAAGATCGCATCCACGCAACGGAGTGAGCTCCCATCACTTTATCCCAGCTCCTCGCCAACCTAGCAGTTCGAAAGCATGTAAATGCGAGTGGATAAATACGTCCCACCTCAGTGGGAAGGTAAACAGTGTTCTGAATCTAAGTCACACTGGCCATGTGACAACGGAAACTATCTTTGGACAAACGCTGGCTCTATGGCTTGGAAACGGGGATGAGCACCGCGCCCTAGAGTCGAACACGACTGGACTCAATGTCAAGGGGAACCTTTACCTTTACCTTTTATGAATGAATGACCTCAAAAGGTAATTTTTCTCTCTCTCACACTGCTATGTGATCAACGGCAGTCAATCCCTTGAGAGCATCATTTCTCAAGGGTTTCAAGGAAGATCCTCGCCTGGGCTTAGCCAATCAGGGACCACACCAAACTGACGCAAAAGATTTTACCCTCCGAGATGCAGAAAAGAAACGAAAAAGCTGGGGTGTGTGTGCACACCCCCTAGGCAAACCCTACACTTTCCAAGAGCTTGACGACTTTAATTTGTAGGCAATAACTCCCAGAAACCTCTGTGCTTGCTAGAGAATTGTGGGATTCATCGCATTCCAGAAATTTAGATTGCCCATTTAAATGGAAGCAAATAGATGCAGCAAGGAGTTAAAGACAGAAGGGAGAAGTCATTGCTACCTATAGTACCCCTTCAGCAATCAAGCAGGGAAGCAGATGAATCCCACTGGGCCAACTTCTTACTTTTGCTTCTGCTCCTGTGCCTTTTCTGACAGCCCAGTAACAGGTGGTGCTTTTTTTCCCTGATACAGCAGAAGAGATGGGAAATGGACGACGGGGGAGAGAAAAGTTCCCTCTGCTAAATTCCTGCCTGTCAGATGGTTACAAGCACATGCGCAGAAGACAGTTTGGGGGGGGGGAGTTGGCAACCCAAGCTAAAAGTAAACTTGTTGAAATAATTCTGGCGCTTTTCAGTCAGCCTCTTCCCCGCTGTTTTCTGTCCAGCCCGCTTGACTTGCTCATCCGTTTGAGCCTCGCTTCAGCTTGTGTTTGACTTTTAGCTTTGCCACTGAGATTATGTGCTTAGAAGTTAAGCGGATCTTCTTAGCGTTTGGGCGTCTGGAAGGAGAGGTTTGAGAGGGATCTCATCGGCAGGGCCCTTCTGCAAGGGATAATTGGTTCAGACATTTCCTAAAGTTTGTAAAGAACTTTTTGACAGGACAGGCTGTTCAACGGCAGAACGAGCATCCTCGGGGGGTGGGGGTGGAGGGTGCATTTTTCCTTCACTGGCAGTAAACTGAGGTAAGACGGCCACCTCACAGGCATGCTTTAGCGACGGATGTCTAGCTTTGACGGGGGGATTGGCCCAATGACCTCCTGGGTTCCCCCTGTGGTTTTAAGAGCTTGGATGGGCATAAAAAGTAGATTGGAGGAAGCACAGGAAAGTCAGTGTGCTCAGCAGAAGGCAGCAAGCTGGGGCTCAGGTCGTAGAGGCTCAGGTGATGCTGGAGAACCTCCATAGACCTGAAGACCAAGATAAAATGTTAAAATAGTGGGATAGGGATGGGAAAGAAAACTCCGCGATCCATGTTGCATGAACAAAATTGTTTAAAGAGGCTCAAGGTTTTTGTTGTTTAGTCATTTAGTCATGTCCGACTCTTCGTGACCCCATGGACCAGAGCACGCCAGGCCCTCCGGTCTTCCACTGCCTCCCGGAGTTGGGTCAAAGTCATGTTGGTCGCTTCGATGACCCTGTCCATCCATCTCATCCTCTGTCGTCCCCTTCTCCTCTTGCCCTCACACTTTCCCAACATCAGCGTCTTTTCTAGGGAGTCTTCTCTTCTCATGAGATGGCCAAAGGATTGGAGCCTCCGCTTCAGGTTCTGTCCTTCCAGTGAGCATTCAGCATTCAGAACGGACAGGTTTGTTCTCCTTGCAGTCCAGGGGACTCTCAAGAGCCTCCTCCAGCACCACAATTCAAAAGCATCAAATTTTCAGTGATCAGCCTTCTTTATGGTCCAGCTCTCACTTCCATACATCACTACAGGAAAAACCATAGCTTTGACTATTCGGACTTTTGTTGGCAAGGTGATGTCTTTGCTTTTTAGGATGCTGTCAAGGTTTGTCATCGCTTTCCTCCCAAGAAGCAGGCGTCTTTTAATTTTGTGGCTGCTGTCACCCTCTGCAGTGATCATGGAGCCCAGGAAAGTCAAATCTGTCGCTGTCACTTAAACTGCAGTACTGCAGCTAAAACTCTGCTTGCAGCTCAGGTTGAATCCCAGGCTTT